TAATTAAAAATGGCGTAGACAAAAATGTTTGACAATGATACAATCTGAGGTGTGCAGGTTGTTAAGACTTTTTGTTTGCTTTCTTTTGACACAGTTAGACAAACCCACAAAATCTTCATGTAAGAGACTGAAATAAAACCAAATGGGAGAATCACACACATAAAGCCAAAAAACAGGTCAGATATGCTGGTAAGTGCTGAGACTGAACATGCAAGTTTAACTACAAACTGTTGGTGACAAAACACTTTGTCAATGACATTTCCACAAAATGTTAAAGAAATGACGAATGAAAATGAGAACATATAGCTAGTAAATGAGTAAATCCAAACAAGCAGAATGATCTTACCTACTCTCTCTGTGCTCATAACAACATTGTAGTGTAAAGGATAACAGATACAGACATATCTGTCATAGGCCATAGCTGTTAAACTGCATAACTCAACACAACTAAATATGTAGAAACAACACATCTGCAGAAAACACCATGACAACGTCACTTCATGTGTATCTGAAAACATTTGGGTGAGCAGAAGAGGATATAGTGATGTACTTGCACTTATTTCATTCATAAACAAATGACATAATAGTAAATACATCGGCTCATGCAATCTTCTGTCCATATATATGACCACAATAAGAATTGTGTTTGATGCACAAATGGAGATGTACCATAATAGTATTATGCTGCAATACAGGTATTTTAAATTTCCAATGTTACCATAAGCAGACAGCACAAAATATACAACCTCAGTGGAGTTCTCCATTTCTTTGATGCACACTATGCGTGCAACAAAGTGAGTCATAGAGGATGTAGCAGCAATACTGGCTTAGTAAAAGTGTTATCTGTTATCCTTTTGATTAATGCCTCAACTCAATATTCTACCTGCATTTAAATGTTCTTATAATCGTAATGTGAGGCAGGCAAACACATTAAGGAGCTTTTCTTGCACAGAAATAAACATTCACAAAATATTCTCATTGGTTTGAACTTTGATCAAAGTTATTTTCATCAACAACTGAGATAAACCTAAACAATGATCTCTGCATACCAGAGTGAACCAGCACCACACTGTGTTCCACCACACTGGTCAAAGTAAAAAAGCCAAATGGATTCTGGTCTATAACATTGTCTCTGTGGCTCATAAATGATACAGATCAGATACTGAGCATGTAGATATCAGTATTCACACAACAATTAGCATACAAAATATGAACATAAAGTCACATCTTACACTCAATGCTCAAGGTATCTACCAAGTATGAAAGCCTCCGGTCCGTTGCTGCGACCCTCCAAACTGAACAAGACAAGAACCTCTGCTGATCTTTATACTCTTCTTGGATGCATTCGGGGGGTTGGGCTACACGACATTTGCATTATGGATTGCTGTGTCATTTCATGTAATCAAAGCTCGACGCGATGGTTTGCCCATAAGGGGTTTACTCATCTCGTCTTCTTTAAAGTAAGACTGAATGAGGGGGAGACATCGGACCCCCAATTTGACGAGAACCTGAAGGTTCATGGTTCCATAAAGGTTTTTCTCAGCCCTGATCCTTTGAGGGTTCATGTTCAACTATCAAACTTGACTCCTCTCACTGTGTTCTTTTCTTCGGCCCCCTGTCATTTTTGCAATTCTGTTTTGATCTGCAGGAGGGAAAAGTGGAAGAAAAAAACCTGCTGGGAATGTCTGCATTGCATTGGCAGATACAGTCGTCACGGAAATGTTGAGCCCCACAACCGGTTCCCCCTTTGATTAGCACTCTGTCATCACTCTCAACCCTGTTAGCATCGTTAGCATTGCACGAGGTGCCGGCTCGCCTTGGCCCTGTTGAGGGCTGATGAGAGGCAGAATAAAATGCACCGAATCTCTGATCTGTTACTGCAAAAATTAGAGGACAAAAGTGAAATATCATGTCTCTCATTCCCTTCATCTTCAATTATACACCCTTCAAAATATTTAGTATTATTGGCAAACATTGCTGTGTTAGCACACAATGTATGACACACTATTGTACCACTAAACAATCACATCACAAAATACTCAATAGACCAAATGATGTCAAAGATAATGCTTTGTGTTCATGTTATTGTGCAATAACATGATTATTAATCATCATTATTCTGACGACTTGTGTTTGCATTGCTGCGTTTTTCAGTCAAGAATAAGGTTGCACAAATTAAAAATTGCACACTCAACCTTGTTAGGCCGTGTTTTTTTTTTTTTCCTGAGATGCTAGCCAATGAGCAGTCTGCATTAAGGGGGCGGGTTCCCTTCAACACTGCAACACGGAGGCACTTGGGCATGTCTCATATGTTCATTCCATCTATATTTAACATGCACAGAGCGCATCACTAGCTAACGAGGAACGTTCCTGCCTTTTTACAAAATTGCATGTTTTGTCTCTTTGTTTCTTATCACTGCTCAGGACTTTCAGGTTTGAGGTTTGGTTTGGAAAAGTAATCTAAAATGACT